ATCGCGAAAGATCCGTGCCACTACTTTTTGGTTTTATCAGTGAGGCCCGATGAGACAGCATTTTTTTGCGACGTGGCTGCGCAGACTTCTGGGCCGGGCGGAGGCTGGGAGCAGGCGGGGGGAATTGCGGGGCAGACGCCGCCGCGACCGGCTCTGATCTACGCCGCCCTTCTGGGCGCGAAGAGCGAAGCTCCGAAGGCAGTGCAACATTTGCTCGCCCAGGTCAACAACGACCACGCCAATATCCCGGGTGAGATCGTCCTCCGCTTGCACAGCGACCAGGGGTCCGAGTTCATGAACGAAGAACTCAGCAACTTCTGCGCCTACCACGGCATCCACAAGACATCGACAGCAGGCTGCGATCCTAACGAGAATGCCTCTGCCGAATCGGCTGTGGGTGTCTTGAAGCGCAGGGCCCGGCACCTCTTGAGCGTCAGCAGACTTCCGACCACCTGGTGGGGAGTAACGACACTTGCAGCAGCTCAATTGTGCAGGGCGGGCGCAGGGTTGGGAGAGTACCCCCGGATTCCTTTCGGCACGAGGGTGATGCTGGTGCACGACCCTCCTCCGAGAAACGCCTTTGTGCCACGCGCAGAGCCAGCAACAGTATTCGGGCCCAGCAGCAGCGCCCCGAACGGGCTGTGGACGTACCAGCGAGGCATTGTAAAGGTCAAGACCAACCTGCAGGCCCAGGGGTTGAACGAGGAGGAGCTCAATTGGATAAAGATCAATATGAGCAACTGGGACCCGCCTGATGCTCCACTTCCTCTTCCGGAGCCTGAGAAGTACGATGCCGGAGCTGCGGTTCCTTCGTTCCTACCAGACGGAGCAGCCACGCGAGAGACAGCTACTTGCCCTGCGTGCGTGGCCGTTCGCCGTGAGAGGAGGCAGATGGAACCCCATAGTCTGGTCTGGGGGGAGTGTCTCAAGGCACCGCCGCCTCCGCCAGCAGCGCGAGGGCCCGTGCTCGACGTACCTGCTGAAGGACTTCTGCCGGCCGACGAGGCGGATGAGGAGCCCGCGAACCATTTTCGAGAAGATTCTGGGGCGCCGCCACCGGCGGCCGCGAAGGTGGCAGCGCGCTCTGGCGAGCCTAGGCGCACGTATGGGGACAGGTCCTTGAGTGCTTTCTTGGAGTAACCCCACGCATGCGCTGCTCTGTCTGAAGCCGCCACTTGGGGTTCAGCTGACCACGACCCATCCCGCGTAGGCGACGCAGAAGTCCCGGGCACGGAGGACACTTTGGACCGCACTTGCGACGATGACGACACGGAATTGGACATTGATGACGAGTTGGCCGTGCACGGTGGAATTGTCGTTCCGGATCTGTTTCTTGTGGATCACGTTGATCATTTTGGTCAGGCCGCTGATGACAACGATCTCAATACAGGAGCAGTTCAAGGTGAACGTGGTGACGCTGACGCAGACGTGGACGAACCTTGTCTTGAAGCGCCTGCGCGACGACGGAAGCGCACGCAGAAGGAGCGAAGGCGACTCAAACGGCAATTTCAGCAAGGACACTGCTATCCCGTCTGCTTCGACCGCGCCGGAGCTGCTGTGCAGGCGGCAGAAGGCCATGTCGACCTCCTGCGCAAGGAGGCGCTGCAACAACTGATCGACAAGGAGCCGGAGAAAATGATCGTGCCGACCCAGGAGGTCGCGAAGAGCGTCGGGCCGGAACTCATGAACTGGAGGCTCGCGGCGGAGGCAGAGTTGACAGGCAACTTCCTCGGCATGGGGGCGTTCCACAAGACGACCCTTGACGAGCTCCGCGCGCATGGGCGACCGCTGCCAATGACGCGCGCGTGGTCCAAGAGCGACGAGAAGTATAAATGTCGAGCCTGCGTGCGCGGTAGTTTCGCCGAGCCGGGCCCCAAGCTGCAGTCCTGGACCGCGCAGGCCGAGCCATCTTCTCTGCTCGCTGCGCTGAAGCTCGGGGCGATGCGTGGCTGGACTGTGAGCAAGCACGACGTCAAGGGCGCTTTCCTCAACGCGCACATGCCTGCTGACAAGCTCGTCGTAGTCGCCCCTCCGGCTCAGTGGGTGCGCTGGGGGTTGTGGAGGCCGGCGTCGCTTGGACCTTGGACAGGGCGGTGCGCGGCTTGTGCGAGTCGCCGAAGCTTTGGGCAGAGGAGCGAGACAAGAAGTTTCGAGACTTGAAGTGGGCAGACCCAGCCCCTGGGAATAACGCTTCGTATTACCTTGAACAGTGCAGTGCTGATTCGCCACTGTGGTAGATCACAGACGCCACAGGTACCTCGCAGCAGATGTTGGGTGCATTGGTTGTTTACGTCGATGATCTTCTCTTGGTGACGGATATGGGATCTATGCGATCCGCTTTCCTGCGCGCCATGGGGTCAATGTGGACTTTGGCCAAGGAGGCTATCCTAGAGGTAAGCCGGCCTTTGACCTTTCTCGGCATAGACGGCACTCTTCGGCACAATGGTGATATGAAGTTTCATCAGAAACACTTCGTGGACAGTCTTTTGAGCAAGTACGGCATGGAGAATTGTAATGCCATCAAATGTGTGCAAATGGGACCGTTGCCGGCGGAACAGGACGAACCTGCTCTGCCAGTTCTCCGCCAGCTACAGGCATATAGTGGAGAATACAACTGGCTTGCCACCAGAACGCGCCCAGACATGTCGTACTACACCTCGTTATTGGCAGCTTCGTGCTCAAAGTTCCCGTCCTGGAGTATGGAACTTGCTCAGAAGATACTCAGATACCTGAAGGGCACTGCGTCCAAAGGGATCCTGTTGACGAGGGCAGGAAACGAGGAGTCCTTGGAAGTATGGACAGATGCCGGGTACGCTGGAGCTGACACCCGCTCTCAAAGCGGATTGGTCGTAGTATGGGCTGGGAGCATCGTGGCATGGCGTTCTTCCAGACGCTCTGTCTCAACCTTATCGACAGCAGAAGCAGAGCTCTACAGTGCCACCTTGGGATGGCAGATTGTTGAGGGTCTGAGGCACCTTCTCTCCAACCTCGGCGCCAAGATCCCCAAGGTAACGGTTTTCATCGACAACCGTGCTGCTCTGTCCATCACCATGTGCGGGGCCAACTGGAGGACCCGTTACTTTGCTGTGCGAGGACACAGGCTTCACGAAGAACGCGAACGTGGAGCAGCAGAGTTTCTGCATTGTCCAACGTCTGGCATGATCGCAGACTGCTTGACGAAGCTGGCGACGAATGCGGTCATCCAGGTGCTCCTCGACGCCATGGATGTTGTCTTTCCGGGTAAAAGTTGCGAAAACCCGGACTCAGGAGCGCGACGGGCTGAACGCCAGGGTTCGAAGCAGGGCGCGGAGAAGCCGGGCCACCGTCGCACCTCTGTCTCTCCTGGGCGGCGGAACCGTGGAGACATCGCAGGCGTCGGCCCCCCGCCGTGGAGGGAGGTATCGGTGTCCGGAAGCCAGTCGGGAGGGCGTCCTTCCGATAGGTTCCCACACCAAGATCCGTCGGGAGGGCAACCTTCCGATGGACATCGTGCTGCCGTTTCCTCTTCTTCTTCGCTGCAGCCGGGTGTTGGTTCCTCAAGACACGGGAGACGTGGCTTTGCATATGAATCCCCTACCATCCGTAATGTCATAGATTCGTGGAGTGACAAGCCGGCGCCTGCCCGGACCATGTCTTGGAAGACGGCAGTGATTGAGTACCCCATGATGTGTCCGAGTCTGGATAACGAAGATCCTTTGTGGGGAGATATATTCAAACTGTTGTACGCGGAGTACTCGCCGGACAAGCTGGACCTGGTGCCGGAGTTGTTGAACAAGTACGGGAAATCCAAGAAGGATTGGTGCGCCATGTTCGCGAAGGCTCACATGCTCAGCAACGACCAGCTGCGTTCAACTCTGGGTCGTTTTCTCCAGGAGCAGACCTCCGAGGTTACGGGCGACCAGCAGGTGACCGCCACGATCCCGGACAGCGACGAGGAGGAATACCACGAGGACGACGACGACCCGCAGGAGCAGGCTCCTCCCGGAGTTCCGGCCAAGAAGCGCAGGCGCGGCACGAAACGATGCCGCCCTGGTGCGAACGAGCGCCGGGCTACCAAGGTGATCGAAGCCTGGGAGGACTCACAGAGACAGTCCACGGCTGCCGTCGCCGGAGCCGCGGCTGGGGGGAGCACGTGAATTCTTTGAGTCCCACGTCTTTCTCTCGCGCAGCCGGCGAGTGGTCGGGCGGGCTCCCGTTCGATAGTTTGCCGCGTCGGGTGGGCAACCATTCGATGAGGGAGCGTGGGAAAGGATAAGCAGAGGGAGCAATGAGTGATCATGAGCATGCCGTTGCGCCGACTGTATCATATACATCATATTTTCCCGTGCCGTTTTTTACTTACCGTTTAGAGCTCTCTCCCTCCGTCCTCGGCGTGAAGATTTTCGTGCTTTTTCTTCCGGCGGAGATAACAGCGCTTCTTGTCCAGGCCGGCTCCCTCCAAAGGAGGGCGCAACGCTGCTGCTGCGAAGAGAGACCCTGCTGGCGCGACACAAGGCGAGAACGCTGGCACAAGCTAGCCCTCGAGGGCGCACTTTCTCCTTCCATCCTTCACGATAGTAATAGTTTTCAATGGTTTTCGGCATATTTACACGTGCTCAAACGCGCGCTGGAGGCGCGACGCCCCAGGAGCTCTCGACCCCGTCCCTGCCTGGGTCGTTTCTTTTTTTCCTGGGCTCTCGACCCCTTTCTCGGGGTATAGACGTCCGGGGACCTGTCGGGAGGGCTTCCTTTCGATCGGTTCCAGGACCCAGAGCACGTGAGTAGATACAGTGTAACACGAGCTGAACTGCGCACGCTTTGGTTTTTGGCTCAAGGCCAAGCCGAGCGCACCCTGACTGGAAAATGTATTCGTCTTTCATCCCACATTTTTTTATTCGTTCCACTGCGATCGTCATGTCAGAGGATTTACCGTTAGTCGCTGTGACAAGCGGAGGCGGACGCGGAGGCGAAGGTGTCGCTGAGGCGGAGGAGGAGGAGGAGGACACCCCGCCGCCGTCCAGGCCGAAGTGAGGGTCCGGGCAGTGCAGATCGCGGACCGGCGAGCGCCGCGCGGCTCGTCTCTCCTCCTTGCCGTTTTGCCTTCTGGATGAGGATGGGGGGCAAGGGGAATGATGAGGGGGAGGAGAAGGAGGAAGAGGGGAGGAGACGGAGGGAGCGGGGAAGGGGAGGTGAGGGCGATGAGGGGAGGAGGGACAGAGTAGCCGTCGAGGAAGAGGAGGAGGAGGACGAGGAAGAGGTAGAACAGCTTCGTTTCGAGGAGAGGGAGGAGGTGAAGGTGGAGGGGAAGGACGAGGAGGATGTTGGGGAGGAGGATGTTTGGGTGGAGGAGGAGGAGGAGGAGGAGGAGGAGGAGGAGGAGGAGGGGAGGAGGGGGGAGGAGGAGGAGGAGGGGAGGAAGGAGGGAGGATGGATGAGGAGGTGGAGGAGAGGAGGAGGAGGAGGACCAGGAGGAGGTCGAGGACTGGAGGAGGAGGAGGAGGAAGAGGAGGAGGCATCTAGTTACAGTGGCGACCCATGCCAGGAAACGCCCTGCTTGCCTCCAGGGTGCCCTGGGCTTCTTGTGCTGTGGTGGTTTTCTGTGGAAAGCGTGACGTTCCCACACCAAAAAAGTCAAGGGACCTCCTGGGGTCTCCGGGTTGGGTTTCTTGAGGAAGGGTTTTTGTGGTCGAGCTTCCACTGCAGCCGGGCCATCGTGTATCTCGAGCTGTGCTTTTGACGCAGTCCTGCCCCGTATTCTCCCATCCCCATCCCCCCAACCCGACGGTTGTCTCTCTGGACGGCAGACGGGCGGACAGGAAGGCTTGGCCCTGCTCTGCCGACTCCTCCTCTGCCCCAGCCGTGCGCTGCCGCCCGAGCCCCACACCCCCGCAGGCCTGCGCCCGAGCCGGCGGCCCCGCGGCGCGAGCGCGAGGAGGAGGATGGGGGTAGGAGGAGGATGATCGGGAGAAGGAGGAGAAAGAGGGAGAGATGAAGAACGTCGAGGTGGTTGCGGGTACTTTGTCCCTTTGTTGTCCTCTGGAGGTATCCGCAACATGTCTGCCTTCTCCCTCCCTCTGCCAACCTTAGCCTCAGGCCGCCCGAGCCAGCAACCAGACGACCAGTTCCGAACCGAGGAAGTTTCAACCTATCAGAACCTTGCCCTCCCTCCTCCCCCCTCGCTTTCCCTCCTTCCTGTCCTTCTCTCTCTCTCTCTCTCTCCCTCTTTCTTCCCTTCTTCCCAACCTCCTCCCTCTCTCACACGCTCCCTCCCACCTTCTGTGTGTCCCTCCTTCATTCTTCCCTCCCTCACTATCCTTCCCTCTTCTCATTCCTCCGCCCCGCCACCCCCTTTCATCATCATCTCACCTCTGGTCTCTTATTCCATCTTCAACATCCCTCGTCGAGGTGGAGGAGGAGTAG